AGGAAGATGGACGCGGAATAACAAGCGCGATGGAGCCACCTTTTTTTCACCCGTAGGTTGAAGGTAAATGAAAAAAAAAAAAAACAGTGACGAGTCCCTACCTCCTATACACGGAGTACACGTACGAGCCTCTACTGGTGCCCATACACTTGTCATTCGAGTCGCGCTGGTAATCAGAATCTTTGCCAAGTCGTCCGTACTTTGCATATTACATTCTCGCAGCGACAAAAGACAGCCATACGGTAGATGTACGGCGACGCCGATGATAAATTGCGTGTGTGCCGAGTCGAGGTGCGACGCGCGAAACAAGCTCTGCATTGTTTCTTGCGCTGCAGTGGGCAATTTGTTTTTCGCGAGACAGGTATTTTTCACCGAAGGCGCATTTGAAATATGGTATACCATGGCGCGCATTTTTGACGGCCTTGTCGACGGGTTGGTTGTTTGTGTAAATAAAATAAAACGTTGCCGAAACTCGCAATTTGATATCGACACTGCCTCCTGTGCTATATTGGAAATGAAATTGGCTATCCTGTGCATAGTTTTGCATGAGCGCTAGACTCTTTGGTCTATATCTGTGAATATTTTGCAAAAATAATAATACGCACTGCGCCGGTGCGATGGTTTTATTTTTGCCAAAATTTGGACACGAATCAAAAGGCACACCTACGCATTCGGTCTCAAGTTTTTGCGTCGTTTCAATAAAGTCGAGATCGATCTGACATCATTTTTTTTTTTCCTTCGCTACCATATATATAAACTCGATAAATTAACATCACCAATAAGGTTTTTATATTCCATTTACCTTTATGACAGCGAATAGCTTTTGTACTTTTACATATATATGCACACGAGCGTATGAAAACAAATTTTTACCGCCTAATATAAAGTTGTGATTCATCATGAGGATGGTTGGCAAAATATACTTTTCATCTCAACGCAATCACTAAAGCGATAAATCGTAACGAGATATATATCGAACTGTGTATAAATACAATATTTATCATTGTTTACTTGATTTTTCAAGTGTATAATATAAGCTCTACATCACATAAGTATATCTCACTGAAATTATCGAGCGTTATCGGGGAGCCATTTAGCCATAGCCACAACACAAATACGGAGCTACATCGAGCCCAGCGTACGTGTTGCAATTCTGTGTTTACAATACGCTGCTGTTTCGAGATTATAAATTTCGTGTATCATATATTTTTTTTTTTTTTTTTTTTTTTATGTTTGAACTAATCGTAAAAACAGTCAGCGACACTCTGGAATCGTTGTGCCGATAAAAGCCGATTCGGTGTCTTGATAGGGTGGACAAGTATACCCTTACTATTCATCATATATAACGGACAGGCGAGTGAATGTTCCTAATAAATTTGTGCAAATACGAAAAAACCCGAGCAGCCGTGATTTTATTCGATTTTATTTGCGTAAAGTTTAGCAACTATAGCCGAGTGCGACTGTATATTTCAATATCTTCCCGGTGATATGTGGAGAGGTGCGTACATACAACCATACGCTATAATATACAAAAGAGGAAGAAGAAGAAGAAGATACCCGAGTTAAGTGCACACACAGGAGCAGCATCATCGTATAGATGGTATATAATATAATGTAGCAGCGCTCGAGGCCTTTGCATAGTATATATCTTATCTCGCGTTTATGACGAGCCATTTGCGCGAGTTGTTACAATCGAAATCAATTGCTGGAGCCGTGCATTGTACGATCACGTTCATACGCATGTGTACGTACTCTGTATCGTATGTGTGAGAATAGAGCAGTACGAGAAGGAGAGAAAAAAAAATAGCCCATCGTCTAGTGGCTGTTTGCACTCGGGTGCGGGGAAGCTCCGTGAGAAGCTGCCTTTAGCTGCTCCTACGTCCTCCTGATTGATCGACTACTGGCAATGCAGCACGTGCTGAATGACGTGGAGAGTTCAAAAAAAAAAAAAAAAAAAAAAAAAAATCGAACCGCCCGACGGTTCTTATCTTGTTTCTCGCTTTGAGCTTTGATGCATTTAATTTATTTTTATCGATTGTCAGAGGGATACTGTCATCCGGATTACGATGATTGCGCACGACAATATCGAAAAAAAGAAGTAAAATCCACAACAATTTTACAACGCGCGCTCAAATGGCTTAGCAAAGTCGCAATCATATTTTAAGGAGATTTTTCGTACAGGCAATACAAAAAAAATCTCACTTTAAAATGTTAATGTACACGGATTACTTGTTAAAATCAAACAAATAAGATGATAACGGTAAAAATAAAAATTAAGCGTCTGGCAAAATTTTGTCGGTACAGTGTCTTGATCTAGTATAACTAGGGTACCTTTAAAAGTAAGGATATAGTATTTAGTTCAAAGTGTTAAAACGATCACAAATTGTGACGAGGTACGATTGAAATTTAGTTAGAAATGCTCAATTTTCGATGCTATATTATTCTTGGTTCTTTTGTCCTTTGACTTTGGCCGTAGTACTCACACATGCACGAAAGAGATTTATGCTTAAATGGTACGCTATTGTCATTCAAGAAAAAAAAAAAAAAAAAAAAAAAAAAAAAAAAATCCGTAAACACGATCTGAGTCATTGTTGTCGTAAATTGTCATTGTGCAAAAAGGAAAAAAATCATCCACTTCCCCCACGTGCAGTTACAAGCCAAAAATTGTTTCACTCCGCATCGTTCGCGATAAAAGAGAAGATCCACAAAACGGTAAGCATATACACGCCACTTTGGGATCGCGTGTCGTCGCCCTTGATCTCATACGATGTATATGCCCGCGCCCGCATTTAAATTTTCCACCCGCGGTCGGAAAATTTTCGATTGTTCTCAATTTGGCAAACGAATTACACGAAAGAGCACGAGCGTTACGCCATCATCCTCTTGTTTGCCGATTGATTACCCCTCGACTTTATACCGAATCGTACACAGGTGCGTGCGACATATATATATATATATATATATCACCGCTCAAAGACGCGTTGTTATCTTTATACATGTTGTTTGTACTAAGCTTTTCTTTTTTTTTTTTTTTTTTTCTTTTCTTTACCCGACAAACTCGACTCGTCAGTTTGCAACATTATGCGTGTGCTTAACGCGTCTCTTGACACTTAAGAATTTACATAACACACATATATACACACGGCGAGAGAGACAGTTTAACAGCACAGTAGCCCGGCGTTAATTTATTGATCTCCATCGCCCTCGACTCCACTGACTTTGAAAGAAAGACTTGCAGACGGTGCGTGCGGGAGACACAATGTGAAATCGGGTGCAAAGCCAAACAACGACGAGGTTGCACGGGCGATAAAGCCGTTGATAAAGTTGAACCGATCGCCAATCAGTCACGGATCGTCATTTTGTACGTATAACGCGTGGATGCCGGAATAATGACCGATGATCAAACGGTGTGCGAATACACGGCTCGATAACCCCACATTGACGTGGTATATATGTTGAAGGAGCTGCTGCAACATGAACCGTGGAAAATGTACATAGAGCCAGTCGATCAACGCCAACGTGGCTGGTGTATGTAGCAAGAGGAGGAAAAGAGTTGGGTATGCACATGTATATTATGTACACGTAGAGGTATACTGCTTATACCATGCTGGGAGAGAACGAGGTGTAGTGTGCGATTGAGAACCTCGACAGACATAACTGTACACCTGCACCGGTGATGGCGAATGCGAAAGTCGCCCAGGAATTCGCGACCAAGCCTGTCTGACTATAATAATCATTATAAATGTGCATCGCAACGCGACTTTCCTTTGCGCTATACGACCTCTTTTGCCTTTTTTTTTTTAATAAATTAAATAACAACTGGGGCAATAATTTTTTTTTTTTTTTCAACTAGTTTGAAAGTCATTGGGGTTCGATGAACGCTTTGCGGCTTGGTAGCTATATAGGGGCTATAAAATATGAAGAGAGAAAGAAAGAAAGGTGGTGTATATTTTACACAGACTCGGTGAAATTGCGTTTGGTGCATTCATCAAACGAATAATCAAAATTACCACCTCTCCAAAGCGTCTGATCGTAAATAAATGTATATACTAGAGGCTCTTTTTATTGTTCGGGGCATAAAGAATCATCGTTGCGCGAGCGATAAAAATTACCGTTTCGAGCACTTGAGGTTCCCTTCGGATGGTTATCCCACGATCGGATCAACTATATTTCTCGATGATTTGCACGACGTGTCATTGCACTAACCACAGCGAACTAAACGATACCCACCAACATGATAATTTTTTCTCGAGAAAGTATGAAAAACAAAGTGCTTAGTCCAATGTAAAATAGGTTCAAACAAATTTTCATCAAAATGAGCTTTGATCCCCAACAACGTGTCAACGCACCTTTTGCCACAATGAAAATTAATATTTTCTAGATCATAACGCGATACCATTACGTTGTGTTACATTATAAAATTAAAAGTGAGAAAAAGGGAAAAATACAACTGCAACTGCACTTGCCCTATATCCACTCAAGCTCAGCGAATCAATGAAATTTCCTCTATTGTACTTACTACATTAATTCTTCTTAGCGTACGATGATTAATTTGCTCCCGTAATCTAATCGACGCGGGAATTAAGTGGGAAAAAAAAAAAAAACTACGGCAGGTAGACATGATTCTTTCACTCGGATAACATCGGGCTCCCGAGAAATCTCCGACAAGTTGCGCTCGTATCAGTCGATTGTTTTTTTTTTTTTTTTTTGGTTTTTTTTTTGCGCCGATAACAAAAAATACTTACTTTGCGGAACACAAGTACAGCGCGCGAGCACACACATTAGGTAACTCCTCGCAAACGGCAAGGCTAATTGAGACCTCAAGATTATACCCGCGATAAGCGAAAAATCTGTGTATACAGACACAATTACGCAACACAGTGTGTTGTGTTGTGTTGTTTGGGCATCCGAGGCGTGAACTCGCATCACGTGCCGAAGCACCAGACGAAGCCCATTGACGGTTGGGGGGGGGGGGGACAAAAAAAAAGGGAAAAATTTACCTGCCGACCGAGTCCGGCACAAAGATGTTCCACCAGGAGGGCCGCTTCTGCCGCGCGTTGTACAACCCCTCGGTGCTGCCAGCCTCGGGCGAGGCGGGCCCCGCGACCCCCTTCCTCCTCTTCCGGTCGACCTTCGGTGGCTTACCGACCAACGGATGCCACGATTTTCTCCTGCCCTTCTTCGCGGCGAAGCCCAACGGCGAACTCTCGTCCTCGCGCTCCTCCTCCCCTCCATTGCTCTTCACCTCGTCCTTGGCTTCGGGAGACTCGCCGGTTTCGACGCTACCCTCCTGCTGCTCTTCGGCAAAGAGGTCCTGGGTGGACACGTAGAAGACGGAGGAGCGCCTACTGTCGCTGGCCCGGCGCTTCTCGCGGTTCTCCTTGTCCTCGAAGATGCTGTGGCGCCGGGCCTTTTGGAAGAAACTGTCGCGCCGCGCCTTTAGATCCTCGAGGACGCTGTAGCGGCGGCTCTTGGTCGGGTCGCGCAGCTGCGACTCGGGGAGGTCGTACGAGGACACCTGGCACGACTCGATAAGCGAGGGTATCGAGTTGGTCGAGGCGAATTTCGGTGACGCGTGCTGCTGGTGCGACTCGGTTATGTACATCCTGCTTTCCATGCTACGGCGCCTGGGGCACTGTGGGTCATATGGGGTTTACTTTTATTGGCCGCAGTGAACGAATCGCGACGTTTTGTACGTCTATTCTTTTTTTTTTTTTTTTTCCCAATCTATGTCGGTAGAATTGGGAATGAATCAAAGTGTGATTTTCCCCGAGGATTTACAATACGCGTATCTGTATAGTCTGAAGCGCGTTGACAAACGCAAACTCGATGCCAACTGTTCGATGCACAACAAAATGTATACTAAACGTCGAGACTATGATGTATATGACGTATACACTACCGAATGTGTCCTCGCAACCGTTAGCGCCGAACTTTAACGCGTGGCGATGAAGTATTAATACCGTGTGCCAACTGCGTGTCCCGAAGCTGTTGACCGATTGTTTGGTTGCAAAAAAAAAAAAAAGTAAAGAGTTTTTCGGCAAAAAATAACAGTCAAACTGGACGCACAAAACGTAACAGGATGTATATAAGGTATACTTATGTTCTCGCGATTAGACGAAAAGGAGCTTAATAATTTAAGGCGAAAAATTAGAAAAAAAAAATTAATTGTATAGTTCACAGAGAAGCAAAAATATATGTATTATACGCGTTAAAGTGTCGCTCCATATTTCGTCCAATCGGTCGGGCACGATTCATTCACTGATGGCCAATTTACCCGAGACTCTGTAGGTATATGTATACGTCTTCACGAACGATCTTCTTCTTCTTCTTCTTCTTCCTCTTCTCGTTTTTCAATTCAACGATGACAATAAATAACAACAACAATCCTCTTGGCTCGTCTCGACCTCACATGTATATATATAATATGTTTTACTGCACGAATTATACGTTATAACGCACGGAACTACGGCCCACGTATAATATTAAACAGACGATCGGCAACATCAGCAACGGAAGACTATGGCATTTTGTTGCCGAAAACAGCCGATCGCGAGCATAAAAGATCGGTACGCGAGTACACGTATATTATACAGTTATTCGCAGTGCGGTACGCAGACCAGCGACGCCGGCATCACCTCCTCGACTATACAAGTACACGGTCACTCACTCGGTGAAAGCACTCGCCGTCGAGCGCGACCGCCTTTTCTCTCACACGTATATAATATGTACGCATGTATCTGTTGTTGCAAGACGCGCACAATCACTTTTTTGCACACACGCACAAACTCTGTCCGTCGATACAACAATATCCTCGATTTCCGTCCTTATATATATATGTGTATTCACCATCAACGAAGCTCGGCCGCACACTGCGTGATTTTGTACCGAAGCGCAAGCACAACAGAGATTGAGAAAAATAAACTAACCCGCAGCACTGCAGAGCGCTCGAAACATTACGAAACTTGGGCATGAAGTACATATATATATATATATACACGCCGCGGCTGTTGTACTCGTGTTGCTTATATCGTAAGAACCACGAGTCGTCGGCACAAGCGATGGTGACCCGCCGCTGCCTCGAGCTCGCGAGCTAACGTCGCGCAAACCCGCCGCGCGCTCCGGCTCTCCGTCGTTCCGCCGTGCCCGAGCATTCGCTTTCTTTTTTCACTTTTTACTATATATGCACGTTTATAACGTGTGATGGATTACACGCACGCCCGATGTACTTTTTGCAGATTTTTTTTTTTCCCCCCAAATATGTGTGCATCCACTGGTGTAAAAAATCCGCACTTTTTTGTTTCGATGTTGTGAAAGTAATAATAGCACGACACCTCCTTCCGCTCGGAGTTACGGTCGAACGAGCAAACGGAGCGCGCCTCTCTCCGCGAAAGCGAGTATAGGTATACCGATCTCCCTCGATCGGGCACCGATGCACCGACTTCTCTCTCAATTTCTTCGCGCCAACCGTGAGAGGGAGGGAGACCAAAAAAAAAGGGAAGAAAAAATCATGCAGCCGAAGCGAGGAGATATATAAGCGACACGCATCAGACGGGCACTAAAGCGCGAGCGGCCGCCGCGCTCGTATTTATACAGAGAGACAGCGAGCGCCGATCTACCCTCTCCCTCTCTCTCGCTCTACTACTGCAGTGTGCAGTCTCTCTCTCTCCCGGCTTGTTTTCCCCCTCACTCCCCCCCTCTAAATTCTCTTCTTCTCGCGCTTGTGTATGTGTATGGGTATACCATAATATACGCGCTCCCTCGAAAGGAGCGGATTATTCTTATGTGGGTATACATACCGATCTGCATGAGTGTTCTATATGGGAAACTGAGCTGTGAAAGGATGCAGGTGTAATTTTTTTTTTTTTTTTTTTTCTCGGCCGAGAGCTCGAGTAATGGAAAAAAGCACCCAAGTACCACCAGGGAGAAATGGCCCTTTTTGACGGGCTAAATGTTTGCTCGCATTTTTTTCCCCAATTAAGTATACCCTACACCTCGCAAACGAGAATCGAATTAGCTCCGGAGTGAGGTATCTGCAGCGAGCATCTGTGATTTTATTTATTTTTTTTTTTTATAGACAGGCTTTTGATTTTTCGTTCGATTGGGTATAATTGTACTCGGTTCCTCGTACGCCTTATTTGGCTGATCGATCGTTTCGCGATCCTTTTAATCGGAAGATTGGCGTCTTTTTTTTTTTTTTTTTTTTTTCGGTAAGTAACTGCAGGGATGATTAAATTTAGCTCTTACGATGTTTACATTCGTCGAAATCCAACTCCGATTCGTACCATATAGATACGAAAAGGCCCTCGGTTCTCGTAATAAAAGAGATTCGATCTAATTATTTTGACGATGAAAAAAAAAAAAAAAAGAGTTATAATTAGAGATGAGTAACGCCGCGTGACGATGTGCAAAAACAAATGAAATTCATCGTGTTATTACAAATGGTACATATCCACACGTTGGCTGCCATCACATTTTTTTTTTTTTTTTTCTTCTATATGTAGTGTATGTACCGTGAGTTTGATTGTTTTCACAGTTCGATAAACTCGCTCTTTAAAACGATGATGTAGGTTGATGATCTATATACGTTTGTTATTTTTCACCCACATATACGTGTCAGGCGATTCATCGTAATCTCCAGTTGCTCGATTGACCATCGAATTTCACCCTCAAAAAAATATTCGTACAATACCCATACTGTTTCGTCGCGGGGACATAAATGCATCAGTCCACGTATATAGGATAAAACAAAAAAACACTCGCACGGCATCCAATATTGGCCACATGTATGCACACACGTAAGGTGAAGTAGGGGCACAATGGAAAACTATAATGATATCCAACCCGTGGTGTCCTATATGTCCACGTTGTGCCAAACCACATAGTGTTATATATCGGTACAGCATCCAGCTCTGCTCCCTCTTTCGTATAATATGGAACCGAGAGTAGGTATGTATATATACAGTGTGCAACACTGACATCCGAGTTTTACGACTCGATGGATGAGAGACAAGGGGAGCAGGGAGGAAGCGTGTGACGCAGTTGCGCGGCTTTTTCTCAAACGCCCCTCCGACCCCTCCGCTACTTCTTTCGACTGCGCCACGTTGCGCGTGTGTCTATTGAATTCAATAAAAGCGCGATACATATAGGTGTACATGTGGTACGGTCCCGTGGCTTTTCTGTCGCAGCTTTGTTTTTTGATGCGAGACGAAAAGTCTATTAATTTGCCCCAACCGGCGCTACTTGTCGACTGCGGTTGATAGTATCCGATTTTCGCGAGAGTGTTTATATTTTTCAGATAATTTCGATACACAGTTGAGCGAGATATATAATATCTTGGCGCTTCGTCACTTCCTTCCATGAGGAAAGAGAAGAAAACAAAATGATAACGCGATGCAACGCGTTAAGATAATGTAAATCGTTATCGCAGCTGCGTCTCTTTTCCTTGTCACTGCGCTCTTGAGGACATTTAATTCGAAGAACGCCAGGCGCAACAGCAAAGACAACTGGTTGTTGCATCACGTTCGCATCGGCGCTGCAAAGGTGATGATACGAGGACTCTGTAATCGGTGCGGCCCACGTGTTTCGACTCATGCACATGGGCATCGGAATGACGATCGGATCTCGCGGTCAAAGTCTCGTGTTGCTGGAAATTTCCTTTTTTTTTTTCCTGCGGTTTACTAAACAAAAAAAATGAAAAAGAAAGATGTTGCTCTCGAGAGCGGGCTCTCAAAGTTTAGAGGAAAAGTGGAGGTGCTGAGAATGATTTTTTTTTTTTTTTTAATTTAAATATAAATTAATCCTCTTATACGCATTTGTGTGATAACTGTGATGTTTTTTTTTTTCGGTCAAGTTAGTCTATACTGTTTTTTAGGGTTGAATAATGTGAAATCTTGCGTTATCACGTGAAATATAAGTTTGTCAAATTCTAGTTCTAAAATAACTCCAAATCAATTGGAGTGATGAATTAGTTGAGTGTAATTTTTCGCTTCTTGTCAAAGTAAAAATTCAGTGTCTTGAACATTTCAAATTCATATTTATATTCATTGATTAATGTATAAAAAAAATTAAACGATGTGTAGATATATTTATATATACCACTTACAAAGGTATAACTGTCCAATAAACTTTGGTTGACTGAAATGTGTCGAGAATCAGTGATTTTTCTTTTCATGATATCGAAAGACAATAACAAAATCACTTTGATAAATTTTGAGTAAAGTAATATTTCATAACGACTAAGCCTCGAGTCGCTCACATTTTGATGTTGTCTATAAATACGGGCAAACAAATATTTACATTTGATACAAATACACAAATACGACACTGAGATTATAAAAAAAAAAAATTTCCGATAACGAATGTGGGTAGTTATGTAAATTCTCAAAAAGCTATCAAACGTAATCGCTCGTTAGGCATCTTAATGATAATATTTATGAAGCTAAAAAATCCGATGACTCAGTCTACTTGTGTTTCTTGATATTCCATATCTCAATCGTCGATTTCGAAAATTTAATGTAAGTTTCAAAAACTTATCATATAATCTTAACAAAAACAAATGATAAACAGTAATTAAGACGTACTTTGTCTCAAAAAAAAAAAAAAAAAAAAAAGATTTGTATGTAAACACATACAAAATAAATTTTTTGGCTGTAAAATAAATAATATCGTAGATTACATGGCTTTATAAACGCTTTACAACTAATGAAGTTTCATCTAATTGAACCAGCTCTACGTTAGAAAACCACTAAACAAAATCGGTCAGTTTTTCATACGTGGCTTTCTAAGGTGACATTACAATCTGGAAAAATTATAAATCTGGAAGAAAAAAAATTTTCACCTTTCCTATCAAATTAGAAAAAATTATTAACATACGTTAAATAGTTGCAAAAAAGCTAAATTAGAGAATCTGTCATACTTGCAGGTCCCGAAGAGGAAGTTATTATTGAAATTTTCAATACTTTTGTTTATGAGGAATTATTTTTTTATTATTTTTACATTTTAGCACCAAAAAAAAAAAAAAAAAAAAAAAAAAAAATCCGTAAACACGATCTGAGTCATTGTTGTCGTAAATTGTCATTGTGCAAAAAGGAAAAAAATCATCCACTTCCCNCCGCACTTTTGACACTCCCAATGGTAAGTATACATACATATATGTATGGTATATATAACAACAACAAGCGAGAGCTCCTACGTTTTACATTCAACCATGTATGTATGTATGTAGGCATGTAAGGCACCCGTGTATATATATATATTATATAATTTTCAATACTTTTGTTTATGAGGAATTATTTTTTTATTATTTTTACATTTTAGCACCAAAAAAAAAAAAAAAAAAAAAAAAAAAAAAAAAAAACACAACGAGATATTTACTTCAGCTCATCAAAGTCGCGTAAGTTACAATACCTTTTTTTTTTTTTTTTTGCTCCAAAACCCCGTCACTCATCGTGCATATGCACAAAAGCGTGCAGTTTTTTTTTATACAACTCCAGCGACTCCTTGTTTTCTTCCGCGACGACAATAAGACCAAGAGACCCAGTAATAAATCACGCGCGCCTCGTAAAAGCTAATCTCCGCCCGTTTGATACCAGAAAGAGGAGAAAACAAACGCCGCGAGAGCGCACGATTTAATAAAAGAGGCAGGCAAGAGGGGGATGGAAGAAAACAAAAGAAAAAAGAAAAAAAAAAAAAAAAAAAAAAAAAGAGGAGCAAATCTTAATACCTTACGATGTTTACATTCGTCGAAATCCAACTCCGATTCGTACCATATAGATACGAAAAGGCCCTCGGTTCTCGTAATAAAAGAGATTCGATCTAATTATTTTGACGNTTTCCCTTGCGAAACGCACCTGCGTTAAATTCCACCACACACACATACCCTACGCGAGAGGAAAAACAAAAAAAAAAAAAAAAAAAAGAGGAGCAAATCTTAATACCACAGTGCGAAGAGGAGCAGAGACAAGAGGCAGCAAAAAGATAACCGAACGGCGTAAAGCGCGTCCTCGCGAGAAACTTGTCTTATCAGCGATGCTGGTGATCTCGCACGGTAGCTCACGCGTACAAATACATGTGTGGGTATGTTTGGGCGCTGTTTAATTGTCGGAATCGAATTAGAGCGAGAGAGAGAGAGAGAGAAAAACGTCTGTACTTTCGTTCACATTCAGCGGCGATGACAAACGACGGGCTAATCGACCGCGTGTATGAATTGACAAATTGTTTCCACTGCTCTGGACGTACGTTATACGTCCGGCTCTCGTTAGATGCGACTAGACCCCCACTCCCGCTGTTAGCGCGCAAACGTGTACGTTGCAGTCAAAAAATTGGCGACACGCGTATTCGACGTAGGAAAATACAAGTTTTTCAAAATTTTTTTTTTTCGAATCTTGATAAAAGCAACGGTGTAGCATAACCAGCAGACGTAGCATTTTCGTTGCAGAGGCTGCCGTTGTTGCTCATCATACCAGTCGTGTATGGTTTGGTTTTTCCTTGCATAAAATGACAATTGCTTTGATTTTTTTTTTAAATTACAAAGGCTTTTGGTGT